ATCCAAAGAGCCAAAGCGCCATTCACTCAGATTGCATTTAAAAACCTATGAGACTCAGTGAAAAGGAATAAACCTCCACAAATTCGCGACGTGTTTTCTAAATGTTTAAAATGTTTTAACTTTGCATGGCTACATCTCTTGTGTGAGACGCGAGTGCAGCAGTCATATTTGTCCGTCTAAAAAATGTGCTGAATATGCGTTCTGTGTGAATGGCTTGGTTTCGGTGTTAACCTAATGAAGATCTTCTCTGCATTTAGCTACTATATTTCTCTAATATTTTGAATGCATAACTCAGCAACTGCGCGTCTCGTGGGCTAGACTAACAAAACATTAAAATGCAACAACGTCACTTACATCATCATCACCGCATATATGCTCCACTGAAGATGCTCCCTGACGCACTCCTAACATTTGATTGTACTATTTTTGCATTCAAATGCAAATGTTTATTTTACATTTTTTTATTCACAATCTCCTCATCTGAGGCAGGCACAGCACTCAATTCAGCATGTGTTCATGTTTGTGTGTGCTGTCTGCGTCACTCAGAGCACGTGCCTATATCGTGCACTATATCGAACATTTTTTTATATCGTTATCGAAGAAGGTGTACCGTCGATAAATATCGATACCGTTTTATCGCCCAGGCCTATATCACACTATTTAATATTTACTATTACTATTTAGTAAATGTACTATTTAGATAGTAAAAGCATATGCATAATGACTTCTGAAATGTCTGTTTGTTTTTCTTGTCTATATATTTGTATGATTAGTAAATGAATAAATAGGGGGAAAAATAAGAGTGTAGAAGACGATCTTAAAGCGCTACTTGCTGGAAGGACCATGTGAAATAATCCCAGAAGGTGCTCTATGGTTGCGTTTGAAGCAACTATTATAAGAAAGGGATCCAAGGAAATTCTTCCAGTCCAAAAAAGTTTAAAAAGCCTTTATTCACATTATGGCCATCACAAAAGAAAAATTGAAAATGACTAAAAATCTGTGACACTGGGAGAAATCAAAAGAACCATTACAGGGGGGACCTCTAACCTTGTTAGCCATTACAAAGTATGATAACATAAAAAATACAAAACAAATAATAATAATAGTAAAATAGTAAAAAAAAAGATTTTTGATCTTTGTTTCTTGTATGAATTGTAATTTTATGATGCCATAATCTGTCTTGCAATCTACGCTTAGTTTCATCCCCACAGAAACAATTACAAGGACATTGAAGCCTATAGATTACATATGTGCTTTTACAATTTATAAAGAATCTAATTGAATATATTTTATTTGCACAGACATCTACAAATGATTTAGTTTGAAATTCTTTGTCACAATGATTGCAATGTCCACACTTGAACATCCCTTGCATTCCTCTGTCCAACCGTATTGTCCATTTCATAGCAAGCAAATAACTTCTCACAACTTTATCCTTGATCGTGGGAGCCTTTCAGTAGCTCAGAATTGGAGGATCTTGGAAAAACTCACGTAAACTCGGATAACTTTGAATAATCCCCCAGTTCCTATTGATTATACGTTGAATTTCATCTGACAAAGTACTATAGCCCATCACAAAATATGGTCATGCTGAGCTGTTCTTCTTGCTTTTCTTTTTCAGTAGGTCATCCTGTTGTAATTGTGTCATTTTATTCAAAGCCTGATCAACCACTCTTTTTTGTTATTCCCTCTGTTTAAAGCGATCTGTCATATCCCTAGCGAGGTGATTAAAGTCTGAGTCTTGATCACATATTCGTCTTAAGCCCCGTTCACACCAAGAACGATAACTATAAAGATAACAATATTAGCGTCCACATCAGCGAACGATATTGTCTGTTTATTCTAAGCGCACGCGCGTCTGTTGCTTTAAATTCTCGAGCTCGTTTTAGCAGGATGGATTCTGATTGACTGTCAATGTTTGTATCGTTCATCAGCTGGAAAAAAATCGTTCTGAAAGTGATTCCAACAATATCGTTTCTCTGTGCCTTTATCGTTATAGTTGTGGTGTGGACTCTGCTAACGATTTTTAGAACTATATCTTTATCGTTATCTTTATAGTTATCGTCCTTGGTGTGAACGGGCCTTTAGTCTTTGAAATTGGCCCAGTGGAATGCTTTCCATTTATTTACATAAAAAAATACATCTGTAAAATAAACTTTTATTTAGACGGTAACTTGGTTCTCTTAATCCTATTTTTTTTATTTTTCACAAAGAAATTGTTAAATTTATAAATAGAAAGTAAACACTGTAAACAACAGTAAACATCAGCCAAACAGAAAAACATATCAGCCACTGTCGATAATTAAAAAAATTTAAAAATCCCAAATCAACTGATATATCAGTCAACTACTGATGAATAATTAATGTCTTAAATTGTTTGTACTTTATATTTATGTAATTTATTTGTTTGACTGCAAACAATTTAGTGCATGTATCATAACCCAGAAGATGACCATTCCAAGATGGCGATGCTGTGGACGCATAGGGATCAAAGTTCTGTTCACATGTTAATATCTAGCTCCTAATTAGTTCCACTTTTTCTGTCCTACAGGCAGAGGAACAACTACGAATAGTTGAAGAGCAGAGGAAAATACACGAGGAGCGTATGAAGTTGGAGCAAGAGCGACAGAAACAGCAGAAAGAAGAACAGAAGATAATTTTGGGGAAAGGGAAGTCGAGGCCTAAACTTTCTTTCTCTTTAAAGGCCTCTGAGTGATGAAAACAATGTGGCCAGGATTTGTCCAGACTTTCTCCAGACCACCTCTTCGTGTGAGACATTGTGCTGCAGCACAAGGTCTTCTTCGTAGGTCTCATGTGGTGTGTTTCAAATTCTCAGAACAACGGGAACAATCAGATTTGTCAGATACCCTTCATATTTTTCCTGTTTTGTATTACTGACTCTTGTATAGATAACCTCCACTTGTCCTCCATGTAATCTCTGCAAACGCATTCGGTGCATTGTACGAGTAGGGTAAAAAAGGACCAGCCTGATCTGTTCGTTCATACAAATGGTTTCCAGTTTCACTAATTCAAGGCCTCAACAGATTTCCTGGCTGATTTGATTGAATTATTTGTATTTTTTTAAATAGTTTATTCATAGTATAAAATAATTAGAAGGAAAGATTGACAGGGAAACTGCTTGAACTGGAATTCCATCCCTCTATTTTGAATAGCACAGACCACTATGAGTTAACTGGTAACCAGTCCAACCAAGAAGCATCATAAAACGAGAATAACCTCCTTTTATCATTTTTACTTACACGTTAATAATTGAACATTCAAGAGGTAAAGTGATGCTGTAATAAAGGGTACCTGGTCGTTGCATGTCAGTGAGCTGCGTATATGTTAGTGATGAGATGCTTTTTGAGGTGATCGAGTGAAAGGTTGCTGATTGGCCAGAATTTGTGTTTGTGGTTGAATATTTGACCCAATAAATCCATGAATGTGTCTTGTTTCTGACGTTTGCTTGCATATTTGTATTAACTTGTGTAGTTTTTAGGATTAGATTAAGCACAATTATACATAAAAAAATCAAGTATTTAAAATCAAATAGGAATAATATGCATTCGAGATGTTTTGTCTGTCACAAAAGCTAGTTGTAAGAATCTGGAAAGCATGGGAAGAACAATTAAAAGTGGGTTAAAGTTTTGAGGTCAGGATGTCATTATCACCTAATGCTTTAAATCCGCAGCCTAATTAATAGTTTGCTTGACACCTCTGTTAGGTCGGCACAAGCCCAGAGCGCAAATACACAAATCAAAATATGATTACGCGAGTAAGGGACTATTGCCGACTTTAAACACTTATGAAAAATAAACTGCAGGATTATACATGGAGAACTTTTATTTTATCGCTCAAAACCAATAGATCTTTTTATTGTAATGAAAAGAGTTTAGTGCCCCATATATGGGAACGGGATTAAACGAAAAACGGCTTCACCTTACGGCCTTAAAAGGATTCAAGGCAGACCAGACGATGAAAGTGCAAACACATCACACCTTAACACCGACTGACATTCAATTATCTCTTACCTGTTAGTTTTTCCTTTTGATTATCGTCCAAACACGCGAAGGACAATAAACAAAAGTTGCCTGAGCCATCATATAACGGTTTCATTTACTTCTTTTATCTATATGTATTCTGTAAGGTAATAGCTATAATTTTGAGAAAGCATATTTTTTCCAAAACGTTAAACGGGTGACGAAACAACCCACACCCGTGTGAGTAATACAGATTTTTAAGACTTTTTGAGCTTTAACGTTACGTGACTAAGCGGATTAATCTCGTGGAAATGCCTTTACTACAAGCTTCCATACGGGTTTAGGTTAAAATAAAATATTAGTTATTTGATTTCAAACACACGTAGGCCTAAGTTATAGATTATTTAGCCTGTATATAGGCTACATACCGATATTTATGTACAAAATGTACCCAGAAATGAAAATATCGACGTGTTTACGTATACCAGCAGTTTCCAGTCTGTGTGTCAATCTTTTTTAGACTTAAAACTCCGCTAAATTGCACACACACACACACACACACACACACACACA